ACGCTACTTTCACCGGAACAAACGAGCACTAACGAAGCACTAAAAAAGTAGACCACTCCCGTCTGTTTTGGAGCAACATGGGGGGATGGTGACGTCATCGGGGCGAAATTATAATTCTTAATATCTCATAAACTAAAGCTGCACAAACGCTACTTTCACCGGAACAAACGAGCACTAACGAAGCACTAAAAAAATAGACCACTCCCGTCTGTTTTGGAGCAACATGGGGGGATGGTGACCTTTGGATGACCTAAAAATTAATCTTTAATATCTCAGAAAGCAAAGCAGCACTAACAAAAATTTTAACGGCACAAACCAGCACTAACGGAGCACTAACCATTCAGACTATTTGCTTTAATTTTGGAAGTGGGTGGGGTGTCAGCTTCACTCAGCCTACTGTGAGTTGTCACAGAGGAATGGCAGCAACAGAACAGAAAAACAACGCTGTTCACTGTATAAGCTTCAGAACACAACACAGTCAAACACATGCACTGCATACAGTTTCTCATGAAGATTATTGAATGATGAAATTCATAACTCACCAGACTTGTAGTAAGGAGCAGACACAGCCACCTCTAACACAATCTCTTCCTCTTCCACCTTTACATCAGGTGGAGCCACCAGATAGATGAGTCCGCCCCACATGTTCCAAACCTGCATCCTTTCTGATGTCACAATGAATTTCTTAATAACATTGGGTGCCCTGAACAACTCTTCTTCATCCAGTTTATCACTTTGACAGCCAATTTGGACCTTTAAAAATATAAACCATGTGCTACATTGTTAGGAATCTGCATTAAGTATTATCATAGTAGTACTTTGAGTTTATGTACACTACCATCCATTTCCTGTTAACAAGCTTTGGTGGCAACGTCATCCAGGTCTTCATGCCAGGAGAGAGATAGAAACCAGTACTGATCCACTCTTTATTTTCTGCCAAACAAGCAAAAAAAGTATGATTCATCCATGTAAAACAGGGGAATCAATGTTTTTTCCCCCTGTGCTAATACTATACAGTAGTCCCTCGTGTATCGCAGGGGCATACCCTGAAGACCCGCGATAAGTGAAAAACAGCAAAGTAGAAATAGTAGTACAAGTAGTAAGTTGTAGCTTATTATATGT